TTTCTGTAAAACTCCTGGTTTGATTTATTAAATAGCAACATAGCTGTATTAAAAATATCCCTGACATCACTCACGTGTAGTTACTGAGGAAAAAAATGACTTAGTATTTCAGTTACTTATCTTCCTATATCATCCTTTTATGACTGAGCCTGCTGGTAGCATTTGAATTGGGAAATGAAAGTACCTGGTCTTCTATACTAAGAGAAGAAGAGTTTTGTGAAAATATGAATGGAGAGAAAGAAGAAGTTGTGTTTCTTGTTGGCTCATTTGTTATCCCTTCAAACAATGGATGATGATTTCTGATATTCAAACTGTACCAAAATATTCTTTGATTAAATAATGGTTATTAAAATTCAAGCTTTAAAAGCTAAAACCTCAAACTGAAATTCTTTTTTGTTGCAATACTGGGAATTGAACCCAAGACCTTATACATGCAATGCTACACCACTGAGCTACATCCCTAGCCCTTAAAATTTTTATAAACAGTAAGACTAACTAGTTTATATGTGGTAATATTTTATCTGTGTCCCCCAATAAAGTTTATCTGAGGATCAGAGGCAAAAGCCAGTCACTATAGTAAACACAGAGGTCAAGCAGTGGTAGCACATGCCTTTAATTCTCACTCAGAAGGCCGAGATCAGTCTGGATCTCTGTGAGTTCAAGGCCACACTGGGAACAGAGCCAGGTGTGGTGGTACATACCTTTAATCCCAGCACTAACCATAAAGGTCTGGAGGTCTGTACAGACAGACAGGAAGTGACAGAGCTGGGCAGAAAGAGGAAGTGATATAGCTGGTAGAGAGAAGAAATGAGTTGGCAGAACAGAAAGGCATATAGGCATGAGTATACAGGAAGTAGGTCTCTCTGGAAGTTGCAGAGTTGGTGAGGTGAGGTTAGCTGCAGCTTTTCCTATTCTTCTGATCTCTCAGGTTTAACCCCGATATCTGGCTCTGAGTTTTTTTTTTTTAATTAATAAGACTGTGTTAACACTTCATTCTACATTTATATACTTTGTTGGCCCTCTTTTTCATTTTGTTATACATTTCTGCAAATCACAGGAGAAAAACTAGGAAACCACTTGATGAAGATGAACTTTCTCTTAGTTTCAAAGACATATATGTTACTGAAACTCAAATGGATGACTTGTCTTATTTTAATTCATTACATATTCAGCAAAATAGTCCAAAAAACAACTTACCTGCTACTGAATTTGGCCGAGGCATGAGATACAAAGGAATAGACTGTACTGATTGGGATAAAACCGTTTCCAAATTCCTCTCTTGGATCTTATTGAGACTGTATGTGGAGGCAGTCATGTTTTCATCTACTCGATACAGACAGGAGTCCATGCTGGATTTCTGAGATTGCCATGGTTTTAGGTTTCCTCCAGATCCTAATTCTTTACTGCTTTCCCCAACATATTTTGTACGCTCCATGTTTTCCGAATAATTTGTCAATGTAGCTGAAAAAGAAAGTATAAAACAAATGTGTTTAAAAAAAAATCAAAAGAAGAAATTAATCAGTTTATGATAAAAAAATCATTAGTAGATAAGAATATTACTAACATTATCTTTCAAAGTTACTATGTCCATTTGCCCCTAGAAGTTTAAATAACTGAAACCATTATACAATCGTATCTTACATATATATTTTTTAACACTTTATTTAAATAAAACAAGCAAATTCATATACCAGTGCCAAGGGAACCGAGAACAAGGCCCATCAATGCTAAAATTTTAGAATTACCAAAAATGTACTTGCATATTTTCATGGACTGCCATAGGGCACCAACAATCCCTCCAAACTCACTATCCCTCTCATTTTCTTTTCCCCACTTAACTTATTTCCTGGCTCATGTTTACATTCACACACACACACACACACCAAAACATATGACTAAAATAACAGTGAGTAAGTAGAAATTAATACAGTAGAAAGAACCTGATCAAATAAGGAAGCGACACAGGCCTTCCTTATCCAACTCTTCTCAGTTCTAATCCTTTCATATCACTTGTAAGTGGCTTGCTAAAGAATAATGATTTTAATTAAATCAAAACCTGAAAGGTCTTCTGGAATTATATCTAGTCTTACTAATAATTATACATGAGTAGGAACATTTCATAACCCCAGAAATGAAAAGATGAAAAACAGTAAAGTCTAAATTATTGAATTTTTAGTAATAACTACAAAAGAATGATGGATATCATCCCAGGAGAGTTTTATACTTAGTCCATGTTCTCTTCCCATAATTTGAAGGTTTCTATTGCCAAAGCAAAGAAAGAAATTGAGGAGGTAATTTCCATAATCCTATTTAGTGAAGTATTCTTTCTGTAAATTTAAGTGGAGTTTTAGATTTCTGTAGTACAACAGAAGGTGAATTAAAAAATAAAATCTAAACTTTTCTTTAAGAAAAAAAAAAAAGCCAAGATTTTTTTTTTCACCACACAAAGGAAAAAGATCTGGAAAAAGGAACTTATCTAGAAAAGGCGACAAAAGAAAAGATTCAACTCTGAGAACTGAGGGAAAAGAGTGGTGGCTCGGGTCTGTAACACTTGGAACACAAGGGGGATGATTACAATTGCACGGCCAGCTGGGCTACACAGTAGGCCAGCCTGGTCCATAAGAATGAGACCCTGTCTCAAAACTAAACTGAAACCAGAGAAGAGGTACACATTCAACAGCCCCTCAGAAGAAATGAAATTATAACCATCACTGAAAACTTTTAGGAACTTGTGAATGTTGGAAGTCAAATCCTCATATTTAGTGCATAGTAATTAGTTGTAAAAGCCATAAGAAATGAATAACTTATGATCAACGGTAGGCAGCTAACAAAATGAAGCAAGGAAAATTGTGTTCCTGTATCTTGGCCAGTCTTTGTAAACAAGGATAAATCAAGGTAAGTGGAAACCAAGGATGAAGTAGGTGGTGGTAACTTTAAAAAAGAAAGCAGCTGTGGAACCTGGAAACTGTTTTAATAGGAGAGCATGGAGAACAAATTAGCGACTGAAAATGACTCAGGGACCTAAGAAGTAAGGAAATAACACCCAGAAGAGCTCAGATATGAATTAAGTAATAGTTATTTCTTACTAGATAAGCTTTAATAATAGTAATAACAATAAATTCATATTTAATATTTTGTAACTTGTATTTTTGGGTGTGGTAATACCTAAGCATATGTTCTAACACTGAATTACAAACCAGCTCTACTTATAACTTTTAAATTGTGTAAATATACATTCCATTTGGTCATCAATACAACACTCTAAGCAGGACTGGTGTTTCTATTCTCATTGTACACATGAAGAAATGATGCTTGCTAAAATTAGGCATCTTGCCTACTGTTACTAGAAAGCAAGTGCCTTTTAAGTAACTATTGGGGGTCTTAACCACTTACTAATATTGTAGCAATTCTTTTGTTGATAATGCCTTACTTTCTGCACCATATTGTATGTTTCTAGAGGGTAGCTACTATACTTTCAGGGTTTTATTTTCATATTTAAATTTAAAAACTTAGTACCAGGGAGTTGGAAAGATGACTCGGTGGTTAAGAGCACTGACTGCCCTTCCAGAGAATCTGGGTTCTATCCCCAGCACCTGGAGTTATGTAACATGGTAGCTCATAACTGTCCAGAACTCCAGTCACAGGAGATCTGACACCCTCTTGCTGTGGATCATGCTCATTGTTAATAATAAAACACTGATTGGTCAGTAGCCAGGCAGGAAGTATAGGTGGGGTGACCAAATTAAGAATGCTGGGAAGAGGAAGGGCAGAGTCAGGAGTTGCCAGCCAGACGAAGAGGAAGCAAGATGATAATGCTGTACTGAAAAAAGATACCAAGCTGCATAGCTAAACATATGTAAGAATTATGGGTTAATTTAAGTGTAAGAGCTAGTTAGTAATAAGCCTGAGCTACTGGCTAAGCATTTATAAGTAATATTAAGTTGCTGAGTCAATTATTTATGAAGTGGCTGCCAGGTATTTGGGAGGTGCTGGTAGGACAGAAATTTCTGCCTACACCCTCTTCTAGCCTCCAATGGTACCAAGAACATACATGAAACACAGACATACATGCAGGCAAAACATCCATGCACATAAAAAATAAAGAAATCTTAAAAAAAAACCAAACAAACAACTTAGTGTCAACTTTATAATTCCACTTGAAAAAAGGAGAAAACAAGTGAGAGGATCCAGACTAACCCCCACTATCATCTTTCCCAAATCACAGAGAAACAGGGAACACTAAACTCTGTTTCTGGCTGTGCTGCTCTGGCAGTTTTGGAGGATGCTGCAAATGTTAACAAGATGCAGAAAATAAATGTGCTCATTCTTCAGTGCAATTTTTATAGTACTTGTACTAAAAATATTTCTACCTAGGGTATAAATATATATGTTACCTGGGCAAGCATTTAAGTAAAGAAATAATTTACTTTGAAAAAAATGTACATGATGACATATTTTGGAGATATATAAGTGAAGTTCTAAAATATGTCAGTACTGGTAAAATGTTTACACAGCTCCCAGTATCATATTATATTCAGGTATTTTAAGACTGGGAAAGGTTTTTTATTTGTGTTAGGAAAACAAGTAGAAGAGACCAATTAGACTTCTTTTTTAAGGCTACCACCAAAAAATAAACAGACTTTGAACTTTCAGCTTTTTAGAAGGCAGCTTTCTCAATAACAGTCTAGGATTTCAACAAATGAGAAAATTCATTGACATGATTCTTTCCCAGCTCTCAGCCACTCCAGATAACAATTCCACATTCACTAACTTTGGTCACTTGCTTTGACTAATTTAGACTAGTTGGCAATGTGGTGGTTTGAAAGAAAATAGCTCCCAAAGGAGTGGCACTATTAGGAGGTGGGTGCTTGTTGGAGGAAGTGTGTCACTGTGGGGTGGGCTTTGAGGTCTCTTTTGCTCAAGCTTCCCTCCGTGTGACTGTCAGCCGACTTCCTGTTGCCTCTGAGTAAAGATGAAGGACTCTCAGCTCCAGTACCACATCTGCCTTCCTGCTGCCATGCTCCCTGCCATGATGAAAACAGACAGTACCTCTGAAACTGTAAGTGAGCCCCCTAAATAAATGTTTTCATTTATAAGAGTTGCCGTTAGCATGGTGTCTCTTTATAGCAATAAAAACCTAACTAAGACAGAAGTTGGTACCAGGAGTGAACTGTGACTCTGGATATGTAAGCCAAATAAATCCTTTCCTCTCCAAGTTGCTTTTGATTGTGGTGTTTAATCACAGCAACAGTAACCCTAACTAACTAAGATACCCTGGGAGCAATTACCTTTTAATCTAAGTTTCTCAAGACTAGGAAGAAATTCTATCTTTATTATATTAGAGTATACATAGTTTTACAGCCAGACTGAACCACTCTGCTTATCTTCACAGATGCTTAGAAACTTGGTACTGGCTACTAACCAAGACAAAGGAAAGTGGAATATGTGCTGTTTAAAGTTTGAAACTTCTTTTGGTGCACCCAGGACTAGCTGTTTACTAATAGCTTATACCTGAAGGATTTGGACAGCCTGTTTTGGCTATGTGGCCAGAGGGCATCACTAATTTCAGTAGAAATTTCTAGAAGCTCTCTGTGACAGCAAGGCTGTCTGTACAAATCTTGGTTCACACTCAGGTCAGAGCACATGTGATTATAGAATAGTGGAGAGCTTCATCTGGAAGTAGTTGGGTCCACTTGTGCACATCTGCACTTTCTTCTGTTCTACAGTACCTTTATGAAAGATTTTGTAATAAGTGCTTTCTGACAAAGTTTATATAGCCTTTCAATGATCTGACCCTATTAGTTATCTATAGATTTCTTATAGGATCACAATACAGTACAAGGATTCAAAGATTATATCTGGACCATAGTCTCTGCTTAACAAAGTGGTTGCTAACCTCATCAGGTTAATTATGAAGAAAAATGTCATTTGGTCTTTTAAATTACTTAAATGAACAAAGTGTCCAGATTATTTTACAAAATACATCTTGCAATATAAATATAGTCCAATGACTACTTCAGATCTTCTAATGCTAAGTATTACTTTGCATTTGGACACTTTGGAAAGATGATGGAGTTGAGAATACAGAACCATAAAACTCAGTAGTGAGCCTGCACATTTCTGGAAACAAACGAGAAAGGCATGAAAGAACTAATTCAAATTATCTAGCACTCAGCAAATGACTCAGAGGGTGACTTGGAAGAAATAAAGAACATAACATTCTGCTGGACTAAATATTCCTCCAGGAACAAAGGAGGAGCTGTTAACTTTGCTTTTTAACTACAGAAGTGAAACATAACCATTGAACAAAGGATATGGCCACAGAAATTTAGTCTGTAGGTGCTAAATGATATTAAGATATAAAATTGGTTATTTCAAAAAACTCAAGACTGAAAGAAAAAAATAATCCCAAGATTTAACTGAAAGGGGGACTCAAGATTTAAACTCTTCTGAAGGGAACTGTGATTTTCAGGTAAATAAAAGGCAGAAACAAAAATGGATTCACACTTCAGTTCATCATTTGCTACACATCCATTCCAAAAGGATCTAAATGAAACTTGGTATGAAAAAGGAATGTTAGAAATTATATGTATACATCAACAATTTTATCTCAGAAAAACTGGGGTTATAAAAATTATTGCTTAATGTAACAGTGATAGATTATAATTAGTAGTATGATAAGGCACAAAATTTTATGCTAAAAAATTATACCAATACAAATTACAAATATGAAATTACCCTGCAAGTATTTGACAGTTTTCCACCTCAGACTTGAGGAGCACTATGATGGAAGGAAGCATTGTGAAGAAAATATGATGCCATTAGAGAATGCTTTCTTGATACATACTGTATCATATTTAAGGTGAATCAAGACCACATAGGATCAAAATACCTAGTAATTTGAAAGTTTTCAGGATTCCAGAGAAGACATTTACATATTTATAGTATTTAAAAAATTGAGCTCTGACCTCTTGGCTTTCTTCTTTGCATTGGTTCTGTGTTTCTTATTTAATAAGACGGTTGGTTACATCTACACATTTCTAGTTTCCTCTTTATCATAAATAGGATTTTAAATATTTTGGCATGCTTGCCAGAGGCTGATGCTGGGTATCTTGTTTAGCTGCTCTTCATCTTTTGAGAGGCAGCAATCTCCAAGGGATCCTCCTGTCTTGGCCTCCCCAGTCCAGGGGTCAAAGGAGCACATTACTGTAGCAGAGGTGGGACTTGTTCTCATGCTTGCATGCAAAGTACTTTATCAGGGGAGCCATCTTCCCAGTTCTCCTTCATAATAATTTTTGGTATTTTTGGACCTATTTTCTTAATTTTGTTTTTGAATTTTTTAGTTGTTAGGATATAGGAGTAGGATTTATTTTTGTGTTGATTTTGTATTATAGAACTTTGTTATATGCTTTTTACCTACTCAATATCTATTTTAAATAGGTAAATCCATGCATTGACATGTATACTGTAATAGCAGAGATATACTTATTGCCATGACATTCATACTAGCCACAACATATATAAATGCGCTGATTTGGTAGTCCTTCCACAACATATATAAATGCTCTGGTTTGGTAGTCCTTAAAAGAAAACCAATATAGAAAAAATAGTTAATTCCATTTGTTAATCGCTCTCATAGTTCTTGGGGGTCTCCAAGTTTTTTTCTTATTTCTTCACAAGACTCGACTCACTCCTTCCATCACACTTTTGTCTTCTCTGGCTTTGGGGGTACTGCACTGCTCCAGCTCTGCTATTTACCTATTACTTGATTTTGTTTCTAGTGGTTCATTTTTCTCCCACCTTTAATACTTGCTGCTTTCTTTGTGTTCATTATGCTTAGCTTTTTTCTTTTGCATATGATGGGAAGTTTATATACGAAATGCAAAGTAAAGAGAGACATAATTTTATAATCATTGGATTTACTAAGATTATTAAGTCAAATAACCCAGGTCTACAACTTCATATATGAAATTCTGAATTAGTTGTGCTACAGAATACAGAAATTTTCTAATTTTAGAAAGGCTAAGATTCATATATAAAATTACATACATGATTGGGGAGTAGCATCTTAGTATGAAATATAATAACATTTTTCTAATAAAATCTATAAATGTAAGTGGTGATCAGGAAAAGACTATAAACAACCTCACAGTTCAGATGAGATCTTGTAGTCAAACATATTTGGTGTAAATTTATCTTAAAATACTCATAGTTTGGAATTTTTGGAATTACAGTAGGAAGTCATGACAAAGATATGAGAAAAAAAGAAAAGAAGTTTTATACACTGCTGGAAACACTCTGCCACACTTTATAAAGTTAACTAATCATAAACCACATGACCCAGAAATCAGGTATAAATTTGAGGACAGCTGTGAACAATTGTAAATGAAATGTGAGGAATGTATAATTAGTATACTTGAGGTAGTTAGAGAAAATGGGTATTACATAGTTCTTTAAAAAGTTTTATATTAATTTAACATGCCACTTTGTGTATTTCACAAATACACAAACACACACACCACTGAATATATACTTTGAAAGGCTACACTGAAATTTAAGAAGCTATAAACATATTAGAATACCTACAATGGAAGGGATTGAGGATAAAGGGCAAGTAATAAACTGAAAAAAGCTTGACACAGACTAATCTGCATATACAAAGGAGTATTACTAATTACACTCTGTACTTACAGCCCAGGAAGAGAAAAACACTAATTTTGTCTAAGGATAAATGTGAATTTGCATATACAGTACTGAAGGGTAACACTCTCTGGCCTTGAATGATAGAAAACACTTGTTTCCCCATTTATTTCTTATCCCTAAGTGCTTACTTAGGGTTGGTTAACAGCCAAATTTTCTGGAGTCTAGAGAGAAATCTAGCAGTTGGTAAATTAATTAAAATAACTTTTACTTAAGAAGGGAGGGCAACATGGTTCATTGGATAAAAGGCATTTGCTGTCCAGCTTGGTGACTTGAGTTCAATCTCTGGAATCCACATAAAGGTGGAAGCAGAAAACTGATTCCACAAATGCCCTCTGACTTCCATGTGCACTGAAGCATCACATTCTGCCCCCAATTATGAGTATACAAACATGTGTGCACATACAGAAATTATAAACAAATAAAAGTTTTTTAAGCAAATTTTTGTTTTTCTTTACTTTTTACCCTCTGAAGTAGGATCTTGCTGTGTAGCCCTTGGTGGCCTAGACCTTCAACCTTTCTTCCCTACCCTCCTGAATGCTGGGCTTTTTAGATGTGCAATGTTTGTTCACTTTTTTTCCCCATAAAAGTTTACTATCCTTGTTTTGACAAAAATATTTAAAAATACTTGCTTACATTCAAGTATTTGTTCTCTATGCTGCCAATGGAAAGTTTTCTTTTAACTTATATTTAATGTTATTAATTATAATTTTATTTGCATGTATCTGTAGAACCCTGAGTTCCTAAAGCATACGATGAAGACCCAATCCTATTGCAGTCACCTTCTGTATTCTGGAGGATCTTGTCACCTGGCTCTAACAGATACATTCCCAACTCAGTAATGACAGACTAGAAGGAATGTTCATTTATGCTCAAAGGAAGCAATCCTGAAGCAATTACTCTAGCTCCTGACTTAATCCCATTTTTGAAGAAATCTTCATTTTTCTTCTTTCTCACACACTCAAATTTTGACTATATTCCAAGAAGATATGAAGATTTAAATCTTTTCTTAAAATAGGATGTGCTGTAACACGACACAGGAACACACCATGTATTGCAAATGTCTTCTTGAATATTGCAAAATATGTAGCTTCTAGCTCTGGTTTCATTTTTCTGAGTTCTTCCTTTGTCAATGACCGTTTTCTAAGCTTCTGCAGTTTCTTCTTGAAGTATCAGAATCAGGTCTTGATGGTGCTGGCATGATGATGCAACTGCAATCTATACTACCAGTGAAGGATCATGAAACCACATTGCTCAACAGAAAACTCACTTTGACAATTTGGCAATGACCTCTCTGTGACTTGCAGAGAAACAATTCGATGAAGATTCACATTTATTGTTTTAAGTCTGGGGTCTTGT